TAGTTACAACATAGCAATGGTCATCATCATTGGGTTTAAATGAATATTTTGCAATTGATATATAAAACATCAAAATATTTTTATTTGCATTTTATATACAGTTAATTAAAGATTATGTGTGATTGTAATCAATATCAGTTATAATCAGCGAAAACTATTTATTCATCGCAAATGTTCAAAATTAGTTTACTAATTTAAAATATTCTGAGAATTTTTGTTTTCAAATTAAAATTGGCTATATATTTCGATTTGTTTCAATTAACATGACTATGGCAACTGTATTAAAAAAAATGTTTATTTAAATTTTGATTGACAATGAATTAGTTAGTTGAAGCCAACATGATTTTTTGCCTTCTTTTTACAATAGTACATAAAAAATAAAATTTTTTTTGTAACTCAATCCCATGGAATATCGATATTTCAAATGTTTTAATAGTTGTTTATGCCCTTCAACATACATAGGATGGAAGGTATATTGAGTTTGTCATTCCAATTATAAATCCTCAGAATAAGAATTCTAGACCTTACTATGTATATTGTATGTTGGTATTAAAAATGGGCGATATACGTCTACGTTTCGTTATGGGCAGCATGTAACCGGCCCTTGTGTTTTGCGTATTTGAATCACAATTTTAAGCCTGGTATATAGAAAAAATTGGTATATAGAAAATATCCTTGCATACAACTGTACCTCCAGATATTCGGTATTTTGATTATTTGTTTCAAATTTGCTATTTGGAGTTCGTAATAAGGGCTGATAATTGGCTACAAGGCACCACGTTTTCATATAGGCCTCATGAAACGGTATCTCCATATGTTCGGTACTCTGAAGACTTTAGCAAGATTTTTCAACAGATTATTTCAAACTTGGTAACAATAGTAGTAGACACAACCATCTCTGGCATATAGTTCGCATATAAATGTAACACCAGACATTCGGAATTCTTAAAATCATATAAAATTATATAAATTCTACTTCTATACGGATACTATACAGATTTTTTTTAAATTTTACTTATTCCTTCCAAATGGTATTAAAAGTTCGGCCCAAACGAATCTACCCGCTTTTTACCTAATTTTTTTTAATTTAATTTGGTCCTAACTATAATGGGTAAGGTTTATCCAAATTTGTAACAAAATAAACGAATAAGCCTGGAAGTGCAGAAAAAACTTAAAAACACGGTTCTCGAATAAGATGTCCTTGAAAAATACTAATGCCACTCTGTTCTCTGACCAAGATTGACAGTTTTCTGTATATATTAATGAAGGGGATTTTATTTGAAAAGGTTGAAACCTAGACAAATCACATATAAAGTGCTCATAAAGAGTGAAAATACACCACATAGTGGTAAGGGTATTATGTCTTTGTTAATTTGTTTGTAACATGGAAAAGGAAGCGAGATAGACCCATAGTTACTTTTGAGGATCTTCATAAAAACACTTTCTGAGTCGATTTATGCATATCAGTCTGTCCATCCGTCTGTCTGTCCATGTATTTTTATAAACAAAATGCAGGTCTCATTTATTATCCGATTGAGATGAAAATTTTCAAGGACGTACCCTATTAAAATTGGTGTGAGTCGGTTCAAATTTAGATATAACTCCAATACATATCTTCAACCGATTCCGGGTTAATTGTGCACCAAATGGCCATTATAATTGCAAATGACTTGAATTTTGATACATTCAAAGGAATTCAGCACAGAAGCAAGCACTTTAAATTTAGTGAAAATCGGTTCAGATATAAAAAAAAATTCCTACATATATGTTTCAGCCGATTTGGTGTTAAAGTTCCTCACATGCGTATTATGCAGTCCACAACAAGGATATTTGATACCGGGCATTATATACAGCTCGGAAATACCTCTGCCAAATTTTATCAAGATCGGTTCAGACTTTTATGTACCTTCGATATACATCTTCATTCGATTTTACGGTTATTGTCCAACATACTTGTAATATCTGCCCAAATTGGATAGATTTTTTCATATTCAAACGATTTTTTTCTATTTTTGATGAATCTTGGTCCGGTATTGCCCTAATAACTAGTTTTAAATGTAATCCTTATCCAAGTCATATCATGCACTATACAACAATGTTATTTGGTACTAGATTTGGTCTCTGTCAAATTTGGTGAAAATCGATTTAGAGTTGGATATAGTTCCCAAATTGTAAGTACTCTAAAGCCATGATACGTATTCAAATAAGGTTCATAGGTGGTTTAATCTACTTTACATAAATTCTACTCTAATACATAAACACTAAATACACATAGTGGTTTAGGCTATCATATAGTCGAGCCCGCCCGACTTTTGACCTTTCCTTACAGGGTTTTTGGTATATTTTCAGGCCATTTTGAATTGGTGAGAATTGTAAAACTCGGTCCAGCCATTCTAGAGTTATACTTATTGTAACTTACATCGATTTAGTTTATGCATATAAATTGTTTACATTCCGATAACTTGGCTATCATCAACAATGTAATTGTCAAAAGTGAACTTAACGTGTATTTCCGAACTCACCGGAATAAAAAATATTCGGGGTAATTTTTTGATTTTTTGTTAAAGTTATGGTCCATTTCAGCCTCTAAATATTTTTTCGATGACCATAGAAATGGATAGACTTCTGCTCAGCCTTAAAAAAAAACCCATGCAAAATCAATTTTTTCAGTTTTTCATCCATTTTAACCCCTAACAATGCGATCATCTCCATAAATAATATACATCTATTCTGACCCTACCCCTACCTCCATGCGAGGACCGGGACATAAATATGACCTGAAGCGTGATTACAAATTAACATGGATAGACGGACGGACACATATGGCTAGATCGACTCAGCTCGTTACAAACTTTTTGGTCCGTTCTAACTTATATAATAATACCCCCAACATATAATGTAGGTTATAAACGTTCACAGTCCATAAAGACATATTCGTAAAGATAATTGTTTGTTTTTATAAGAAATGCATGCCAACCTACTTTTTTATGGAAGAAGTGCCGAAATGTATAGGTAGATATTATAAATACTTTCCCTCAACTAATGCGTGATAAAAATATGACGTCGTGGTCAAAGTAGTTCATTATTGGTTGTAGACACAAACATTATTATTCTCTCTCCCAAAAAATTGGTCTTTCAAAATTTTAAACATTTTGTCAAAGAATATTATTTTTTGTTCTCACAAATTTCAAATATTAACCACCTACGATGGAGGGTGTACTAAGTATGTTATGTCATTTGCAACTTCTCGATTTTTTATACCACACGATTTATTTTATTCAATTTTAATTAATGTCCTATGAATTTTTAGTATTACAAATGAGCCGTACAGGTCTAGGGTTTGGGATATCCCCCAATAATGGTAGTGCCTGAGTGAAGGTATTTTTGAAGGTTTACAATCCAATTAACTGTTAATTGACAGTTAGTGTTTCCCAAGGGTAGACAACTTCTATGGACAGAACTCATATAGCATATAGGTCTAAATTGTTGTTTACGCCCAGCGTAACGGAACCTCTGAATATTCCATATTTTGATGTTTTTAGGCACATGTCATTTCTTTTGTAACAGTTGAAATCACGATACAGATATTAAAGCTTTGACGTAGAGCTGTGAGGTATATCGGTCCACGTTTTCGTATTGGCTCCATATAACGCTACCTCCCGATATTCGGAATTTAGATGATTTTAGCCATATTCTTCCACGTAATCCAATTTTTTTTTACTAAAATATTTTTACCGTTTTACCTTTGGTGGCAGAAAACTGTCTGTATAGGTTCAATTTTAACTATAGCTCTCACATAGCCGTACTCTCGGATATATTGTTTATTTACGCCAAATTTTATATTGGATTAGTCTTACATTTTGTATGTGTCGTTCGTAATGGGTTCTAGCTCCGGTGGCAAAATATTGTATATATAGGTTGACGTTTCCTATATCGTCCATGCCTTACCTGCCAATATTCGATAATTTTAGCCCGATTTATTTCTACGATTTTTTTTTGGAATTTGGTATTAATAGCTTGTAATCTCCTCTGTCAACATGCCTACTTTCAGATATTTGGTATTTTTACGATTTAGACCACATTCTTATTTATCGATTTTTTTTTTTCAATTCGATATTCGTAGTTCGTAATGGTGTCAAAACATTGTCCATATTGGTCCAAGATTTCCATATAACGGTACCCACCGATATTCTGTATATTCAGAATCCTAGCCACAATTTTCTAATTAATTCTAATTTTTTATTTGCATTTTATATTTTCTCCTAATTCCTTACTTTAGGGAATGTAACTAACTTTAGCAATACAAAATAGTATACTTCAATCAAATATTTTTAATATTTAATATTTTACAACGTTATGGGATTTTTTTAGTTCTCAGAGAAAAAAAATATTTAATTTTACATTTATCACCACTTACATCTCACGGTTTTCTTTTGAGCTCTTTTGGGATATTCCATTGTAAAAATTTAAAAATTTTCTTAAATAATTTTATTTCACTTTTTGTAATTTATTCCTATCTAATTTAATTATAACCTCTTAATTATTTTAATTTAAATTAATTTTCCTTTTTTAAAGAGGCCTTCTCATTTAAAACCAACTAGCTACAATATTATGTTTCACTTTAAAGACTCGCTTGCATTTAACTCCATTTTCGGACAACAGAAAATTTTTCACTTCATTTTTTCGTTTTTTTTATGCGACCGCACTTTTCTTCGTTATTTGCTTCAATGGCAAAACACTAAACTGGCTGATGGCCATGCTTTCAACACTTTTTTTCCACGAAATACCAAAAGTATGCCACACTTGTTGTTTATTTATTTATTTTTTCTTGTTCGCGTTGAAAACTATGCTTCAATATTTGTTTTTACGCGCGTACTCTATGTTGCAAAAACAACAAAAAAATTGAAAAGGACTATTTTTTTCTTGGTTACGTTCAAAAAGGAACTCTATTAGGATTTTTGTTTTTTTTTTCTGTTTCAAAAAATTAAAATTCGTTTCACCTTTGTTCAGAGTGCGCTCCAGGTTCGCTATGTTCTGTTCGATGTCAAGTAGCATCTGTTGATCATCGTCCAAACTTTGTGTGCTGCAACTTATGTTGTGCTGCTGCTGTATGGAGCGTATCAGGTTGGTTGGCTCAAAGTTGCCTGAAGCATCATCGGGAGATACATATTTCGCTTCGAAAACAACAAGGACCTGAAATGAATGAGAAAAGGAAAAAAGAAGAGCATGAGTACCAATAGAAACAAATACAACAGGCATAGAAAGGCAGCACAAAAGCCCATACAAAAATAAGAGCGGGAAATTGTGTTCAACAGAACCCCGCCAGTCTCCTTTGAAGTTAAAAGGATTTTCATGGCAATAGAGTAATGGTTCCCATAGTAATACCCTGCAAATTGAGCAGGGGCTGGGGTGTGCTGAGTGTGGAGAGTGAATCAACAGTTTGTTTACATTGCGCACAACAAGGGTTTTCCATTTCATTTTCTCTTTTTTAGCCGTTATGAATACTCTCTTCGTGTTCTCTTTAATGTAATTTTCTCTCATTTCCCAAAGGACATGGGTGCCTCTATGTGCATGTGTGTGTGTGTTTGCGTTTTGTTATGGTTATATTTATTCATTTCACCAGCTTCTATTACTCCCAGCATTTATGGGTATTTTGAATTTTTGCCGGGATAAGGTCATTGTTGAAAGCTATGCTTTCTTCTTCTCCTTGACTTTTTCATTAACATGGATAGAGCTTGTTTACTCTACTGGCGGGCGGTGAGGTGGAAGGGGGGACGTTAACTACCCAACATTGTAAAATCATGTACTTCAGGTGTCTACTAGATTCCCGGAGTTACACGGAGTATGACGACGTTTATTAATGTTTCCAACCTTGTGCTCTTCTCAAGGGAATTCCCTCCCTCCCACCAAAGAGTAGTTGAGATATTGTATAGTTAGATGTGTGTGAGTGTGTTGGGGTCACCAGCAAGCAACAGGTTAGAAGTTAATGACAATTTGCCATAGTTGGTTTTTGTTCGTGTTCTCGTTGTTGTTGTTGTTGCTACTGCTAATTTTACTTCCTCATATTGTGTGACTTTATACCAAGCATGTGATTTATGACCGGCCACAAACAAAAAGAGAACACATTTTTATGGTATCTTCTTTGTTCGTTCGCCATGTTATGTTGGGTTCTGAGGCAAAAGGTAAATCCAGAAACAATGTTGGTTTTTTATTGGACAATTCACAAGGATAATTTGAGCTAATTTGTTATGAGCATAGATTAAGAGTAATGACGGTAAATTCGAATGACATCAAAGTTAAGGTTGTTTAAATTTCTTGCCACAAAGCACGGAGGATTGAATTTGACATTTGAAGGAACCTACTTTTTATTTACTCATAATATAATAATTTTATGGCCATGTTTTTGACTAGGGGTTTTCGGTGAGCTCTTTCAGAAAATTTTGTCAGCTTTCTGGTATCTGCTACCATTTTCGAGATATATACCCTACACCACATAGTGGTAAGGGTACTATGACATTGTGCATTTGTAGGAAGCGAGATAGACCCAGATTTATTTTTTTAAGTCTATTTATGCATGTCAGTCCGTCCTTCTGTCCGCCCATCAGTCCATGTATTTTTGCGAACAAAATGCAGGTCGCATTTATTATTCGATTGAGACGCAATTTTTCAAACAACCGATTTCGGGTTAATTGTGCACTAAATGACCAATATCAGTCCAAATGACCAGAATTTTAGCACATCCTACCAAATTCAACCAGAAGCAAGTACAGAAGAAAATCGGTTCAGATATAGCTATAGTTCCCAAATATATGTTTTATCCGCTTTGGGGTTTTAAGTCCACCACGTTCGTAATATGCACTCCACAAAAATTATATCTGGTAACAAATATCAGGTACATCCCAGAAATACCTCTGCCAAATTGTATCAAGATCGTTTCAGATTTGGATACAGCCCCCATATATATCTTCAAACGACTTCGGGTTAATTGTGCATCAAATGGCTGTTATTGTCCAAATGACCTGAATTTTGGTACATCCTTCGAAATTTGGAGAAAACCGGTTCAGATATAGCTATGGCTCCCTCATATGTGTTTCATCCGATTTGGTGTTTCAGTCCCCCACATTCCCAATATGCATTCGAAAACAATGATATTTGGTGCCAAATATCAGCTGCAGCCCAGAAATACCTCAGGCGAATTTTATCAAGATCGTTTCAGATTTGGTTACAGCTCCCATATATACAGGGTGGGATGAAAAAAAAAAACTGCAACCAAATTCAGACTGCTGTCATTTCTAAGCCACTCGTCCAACAGCGGTTAAAATTATTCCAGTGACAGCTCACTATATTGTTTACAAGCGTACAATAGCATTTGGGTGAGAATTTTTCAGAAAAAAAGTTATTCGTGTTGGAATTCAAGCGTGATAGTGTGATTTCTTTATATTTGGCTGGAAAACAACAAGTGGCTATCGTTAGAGCACTCCAATATTAAAATGTGAACAAATCTTTTGTGTCTCGTACCATCGCTCGTTACCGTGACATTGGTAGCATAGCCCGACGTCAAGGAAGTGGAAGGAAGAAAACAGCAACATCAGCAGAAATGGTTCGAAAAGTAATGAAGCGAATTGATCGAAATCCGCGACGCAGTGGCCGAAAAATGGCTCGTGAGCTGAACATATCGCAATATCCCAATCGGCAAATATTGAAAAATGAGCTCGGGGTAAAGCCAATGAGATTCCAAAAAGTGCAAGAACTTACACCGCAACAGAAAAAAATATACTCAAAAGAGTTAAAGATTTGCTTCGCTTGGCCGAAAGTGGTGAACTGCCGAATTTGGGTTTCTCCGATGAGTAAACATTCGTTGTCCAGCAGTTTTTAAACAAACAAAATGACTTACCAAAGAGGTCAGCTGAAAATGTGCCATGGTGATGGTGTGGGCCGCCATAATAGCCAATGGTCGCTCTCCGCTCGTATTAGTCGACCGTAACATCAGAATAAATGCCGAATATTATCGCGAAAATATTCTGGAGGGTGTATCAAAGCCTTGAGAACGCAAACATTTTGGCAGCAGACCTTAGACATTCCAACAGTACTCAGCACCATCGCACTCAGCACGCGCCACCCAAGAATGGTTACAAAATGAGGTTCCTCGCTTCATTTCCAGCGCACAATGGCCACCAAAATCTCAAGATACCAATCCGTTGGACTATTGTGTCTGGAGTATTTTGGAAAGCAAGGTTGGCACTAAAAGTATCAAAGTGTCAATCACCTCAAGCAAGCGCTTCGCCGGGAATGGGCCAAAATACCGCAAAGCAACATTTGGGCAGCGTGTGACGGTTTCATTGGCCGTTTGAAGGCCATATATCGTGTCAAAGCTGAACAAATCTAAACTTATTCTGAAATTTGATGCTATTTCCGACATTTTTTTGCTTTCATTCAATAAAATTAAAAAAATGTAAAAATTATTTCCTTTGACTTTGTTGTAGTTTTATATCTCACCCTGTAAATGCACACCACCAACAAATATCTGTGTTTGAGATCAGTGATCTGAATATCAGATTTTAGATTTTTATCTCTATCCCCTCATCCAATACCAAATATAGTACCATTTAGTTCTTTTCGAATAATTATTATACACATTTCCGAAACCACGAAGAAGCACTATATTTTCACCCAATACCAAGTTGTAGCAAATATAGTAATATTTAGTACTGTTCGTACATATGTAGTACACATTTTCTAAAACCACCTCTTTATCGCAAACCCACCACCAACAGGGACGCCAATACAAAATTTCAAAATCCCAACTCCATGCGTTCACGCTTAACGAAAATGTTTCAAATTTAGCACTATTTTGTATAGTTCGCACACTTAGTACTCATTTCCAAAATCATCTTCAATATCAAATTTATTTTCCAACCTTGATTCTCATACAAAATTTTAAGTTTTTAGCTTTCTCCATTTACATTATACCAAGTGATACCAATTTTGTACCATTTTAGAACTTTTCGTAACCTTAAACCATTTTAGAACTTTTCGTAACTAAAGTTCGAATTTCCAAAAATCCCTTGGAACATCTATCCTACACTCCATTGGAGACTCTCATTCCAAATTTCAGCCCATTCTGTGGTCATTCCGTTTGTACAATACAAAGTATTCATTACATTTTAGTGCTTTTCGTGCACTTTTAGTACGAATTTCAGGAAATCCAGCCAAATTAAGAGAAATATACCAAATTAAGATCGACTTCAAAATAGGCACAACATTCGGTTCAAATAGATCCACAACTTTCAGTGCCTCCGCAAAAGAAGCTCAGCATTAAAAAATTTAAATATTATAAAAATCAAATTACCTACCCGATTTTGTATTTGGGTTAGGCCAGGAGGGAATTTGGTTTCACTCTATGAATGGATTTTTATTTTGAGTTATTATAAATTTGCCGATTTTCAATTTTCCGATTTTCTACCAAATTTGCATACATAAAATGTTTACCAATATGTAGATCAATCCCACTCTAGTTGGTAGCTTCCAAATAAAAAATAAAACAAAATCTCATATAGAAAGCCAAGGGAGTTCCGGATAGATTAAAACTTTATTTATCGCAATAATTTTTCAAGGTTATAAACATGGTCTATATACACAAGCTACTTCTGGCATATTACCCCAAAAAAAAATTAAAACAAACAATCATATACCACATAAAAAATTAAGGGAGTCATAGAATCGCAATCTTCTACAAGGCTTTAAGTTCGGGATAAAACTACAATATCTAGGTGTTTTATAAGTGCTAACTTTATTTGTTTACTAAGTGGATTAGAGTCTTTCACAGTATTAGAGTTTTTTTTTTTTGTCATGTAGCGGTTATATAAATTTCCACATGGCGGAAGTTTTCAAACATTCGTTAAGTGCTAAAAATTCCCTTAATATGCTATTTCAATTAACTTTTAAGAAATCGAAGTATAGCCATTTTTGGTGGAGAATGCGGTGAGAACCTTCAGAAGATTGAAAATCATATCGCAACGTAGAAATTTTTCCGAGAGTCCAAGATGAACAATAGCAACAATTTGCTATATTACAAATAAGTTGATTGGAAAATGTATTCGAAACATTCAATCGGGAATGGAATGTGGGTGTGTAATATTTTCTCATGTCTTTATTGTCCCAGCTTGCCAAAATAAGTCCAAATTACGGCCAAA